AGAAAAATTTTGAAAGATTCATTCGAACGAACCAAGAATAATTTCTCAGAGCAATCACGAAAATGAACCAATTCAGTTGTTGCATAACGACCTCATTTCACTTTCATCTCATTTCATTTCACTTCTCCTCACATTGATTGGTTACAATATTCTTCATCGAATTAGAGATGACGGACTGACTCTGCTTTGGCTGGTGGTGGTTGTTGGTATATTATAGTTTCATTCAATGTGGCACTGCAACGATCATTTATGAGGCCAATTGAAAGCGAATGCCGAATTCATATGATTATTGCTGCTTCAACTAGCAAATAGAAAGCGCAGCCGAGTGTGCTGCGATGAGACATAGTGCAGAGGGGTGAATGCACACACACAATTCAAGACGAATGAAAATGACTGAATATAAGCAATGCAACGACGAATGCTTTAAAAAAATGGAGAAGCGCATTATTGTGCTTTGAGCTGACACATACACATAGACACTCTCACAAACATTCATATCCTATGTGATGTTGATACCACCAATAAAACGTACCGTATCCGAGAATAGAACGCGTATTATATGAACATTCGAGGATGACATTCGAACGTTAAATTTAATCGAATGAATTGCTTTTATGAAACGACCATTCACATATGTGATTCCTGAATGTGTATATTTATGTATGTATGTGCGCATAGACAATCGGAAAAATTAAGTACCTCATGAGACATTCTCAAAAAAACGTTGATGTTGACGCATTAGAAATAATCCGTCGAGAGAGCACTGCAAGTAATTCGGGACCGAAAAATGTTCCATTGGATAGGGAAGGTCAGCAGGAAAAGTGAAATCTTTGTAGATAGAAACGCTGTATCGGTTGATCAAATCTGACGCATAATTAAGGGATGATNAAATCTTTGTAGATAGAAACGCTGTATCGGTTGATCAAATCTGACGCATAATTAAGGGATGATTCAGTGGAAATTTAACGATTATCACTACTCAATCAAACATCTGTTCTGTGCCTCAGTCACGGTGCAGATAAATCCTGGGTTCTCATCATTTTCAGGATTCCTCAAACGTGTGCTATTTGGGACCTTCGTAATATTTTAGAAATTCAAGTTCCAAAATACAGTCACAGTTGAGCCTATCGGAACAAACCCGAAGTAACGTTCTGATCATGATCGGTCAACTCATGTTGTATTCGATCAAAATCAACACTTTCGAATGCTAACATATAATCATAAAACAACTACCAAGTCATAGCTGTTTGAGAATATCGCACGAATTGAGACGACATTTATTTGTTTAGTTTCAGTGTCACAATTGAGAATCTATCGAAGGCACTGCGACCATTCAAAAATCAGAAATTCTCACCAGATGTATTCACAGGAATAATTATTATTGCCACAATGCATTTATGATAATCACGCTAATAATATTCAGAAGAGTCACTTGATAAGATCAGAGAATACGAAAATATTCTGTCACTAAAACAATTCTATCGAATGCACTTAAACGATGAATTGATTAATAATGCCGATTAGGAAAAACAATATTTCATCGAACAACAAATCCAATGCATTTAACATCAATCTGAAAGCAATTATCTAAGCATATTCGATTCAAAAATAAACAAACGCTATGCTTGAAATGTTTACTGTGATAATAGCTCTATCCCATGTTCAGCACTGAAAAAGCCTTCAAGCAGAAGTCTCATGTAGTCATACTCCGGAACTATTATTGCGCTGCGTGAACGTGCCTAAACTTTCTTTTTCACGGGGAAATTTATGATCTAGTGAATTCACTTAAATGCACCAAAATGTTTCGATAATTTACAATCACTTAAATGTTTCGATAGAAGAAGAATTTTATACTGTCCTGTGCAAAATGCTGCACAGAATGAGCCTATACTACATGGAAATCCATAAATTGTTGGAACGATTTCATTGCATGGAAACAAGCATGCAAAACTAAATTATTTTAAAAAGCATTGTTTCTTCATTTATTATCACTTGTGGATGCTTTGTTCAGTGTTTTTTAATTGTGTATGACTGCGGTGACTAAATCTCATCGCCGATGCAAGGGTCGAGCTCTTCAGGATCAGATACTGCCGGACAGTGAGCGTGTGGTTCGTACGGAAGATGTACACCTCTTCGGTTGATGCACACACCGAAGCATTTATGCAGTTTACGTTTGATACTGGCCACGCAATTGTCGTCGAGTGGAATTTGATCGGGTAGTGGACAGTTGACCGTAAAGGATAGCTTAGAGGCGACACTTCGAGTTGGCGTTTGCAGATATTGCCGACAGCTGGATGAACATTCGCTCGGATATAAGTATTGACAGCATTCATCCACTGAAATTGTCTCTCATCTCAGTTCAATTCATCAATAAATGTTGAAGAGCAGCTCTACAGTCTATTCGAGCAAATATATTTTGATTGTCGGAAAATATTTCTTGTTCATTGAAGGTGTACGGTGAAGATGATGAATCGCCGTCATCAAGAAACCCCGAGAGTACTATCAATGATAAATACTTTTAATGATGCTTGTTTGCATTTCTTTTCAGCTGTATCCAATGCGCAGAAACCGTTTAATTCCCCACTAAGATTTCCCGTATCATATTCTAAAAACAGTTCCTGCATACCCCACTGTTTTCGTTTAGCAAAAGATAGTGATCGAATTTTCTCAAGGTGTTAAACGCCTATTGCTAGATCACTAGAAACTTTGTTTGTGCCAAAATAAACTGAATACATCATGGTTTGATATGATCCAATGCGTTCGATTGAATTTTTGCGCCCTTGTTCAAATTAACGCGACTCGGTAATCAGAATTTATTTTTCTCGACGGAAATCTTCTGATCGTGTCTGGAAATTGCTCGAAATCGTGAGAACTCAAAATAAGTAAATGAGCAGACACAAATGGCTGCTTTGAAATGAAATTGACAAAGCAAAAACGAATTCGTGTCGAAATAAAAAGCATAACTAACGTCTATAGCTGAAAATGGATTCATTCCACAACAATTCCTCAACACAAACAGTCATATCGCTGACTTCAGTCGGTTCTCCGCAACCAAACAGCGGTTCATTAGCAATCAAGTGTGATAAGCAGCACTGTGATGCGTTCGATCCACAACATTGCAATGCAACTTAATTTGAAAGATTCAACACCTTTTTCAAACTATCTTCTGATCATGAGGAAAATCGTATGCCTATTGCTAACCAAAATCATAAACATTATTCTCGGATGCTGTTCAACATAACTTGTGTGCTCAGTTCAGAAATCAGGTATGTCNTCTCTATGCTGAAATTCACCAGAATCTCGAAATGAACTAACCGTTATTCAGAGGATTTGCATGAATCGTTGGAAAGAGCAAGTACAGAGTGATGATTATGAGGAGTGTTTTCACCAGCATTTCGCTGCTAATGTTGCTCAGAAATGAGTTTGAAATGAAAGACGAACAGCGCTCAGCAGTGAGGAACAAACAATGTTAATCATAATTTATGGCTCTGACGAATACTCATAATAAGACGGAATAAATGAATTGATTTTTGACGTTGATATATAATGGTAGTTTAGAAGTGGTGTGTTTTTTTTTTGCGAATGTGATGATGGAACATATGTGAAGCGTTACTTAAATTTATGAATTATTATATGAGCTTACTTTGGATTCAAAATTGCAATCCGAGAAGATTTTCAATCATTCAAACTACTTTCAGCCTCTGATCTATAGGTTTGATCTTGATTCGTCAAGCATTCCTTCATTAGGATAACTTCAAGAGGATTGCTTGTGGTGAAATCGAATGCAGCATTACTTCTCGAATACATTCTATATGAGTTCGTACCAGGTGTTCACCGTAAGGATCACATTTCCTGACTCAGTTCATCCAAAATGTCTGTCTAAATCAGTGGTTCTCACGTTCGGGTGCTCCATTATCCCTTTTGATGATCTGCCAGGCCATCGTTAACCCCCTCCCCCTCTCCTCCCCCCCAGACGATGTCAGCGAATATATTAAAGAAATTGCGACTACTTCAGACTGACTTCTGTTCAGGCCTAGGCGAGTTAGAGAAATGCAGAAAATGAGATAAAGAAGATATCCGAGTGAAAATACACCATCAGAAAGGCACTTCATCATAACTAACAACTGCACGAAATGCAAATTTCCCGACGGGTAATTTCATTCCTAATGAGAACCACTGTCCTGGACCGTTGCATTGCTCATTATTGCAATCGATTATGATAGCTTATGATCATTGTTATTATGATTATTGTTTATGACATGCTCACTCTAAACTGATTTAGATGAATTCTCATTCTTTTCAGACGTGTTGTATTCG